CACCCCCGCCTGAGCTGCTGCCGTGCTGATGGGCGAGCGGGAGCCTTCAAAGCTGCCGGGGGTGTGAAGCCGCTGCCTCCTCTCCAGCGGCCGCTCTGCGGGCAGGCACCTTGCCTGCAGGAAGGTGTTCGGTTCCACGTTCATCCCCCGCCATCCGTGAGCTGCCGAGGGCCTCGGCGAGCACAAGGCGTCCCTCAGCCACCTCCCCTCCACCGCCTCAGCTGGCTGGCAGTGTCCTGCCTGCCCGCTCCCTGTTTCATCCTGCTTTTGTGGCTCCAGGAAACGGAGGGCTGGAGCCTCCAGGAGCAGCCCGAGGAGATCCTCCAGCTGATGGGGTCCCACCCCAGAGCAATTCAGGGCAGAGGCAGGAGCTCTGCGAGGGAAGAGGAGGCCGAGGTCTTCCCTGGGCGGCCCAAGGCACAGCGCAGAGCGGATCGCAAAGGGAGACCCTTGAGGCGTTCATACTTGTTTAAAATACTTTATTGCAACATCATACGATCCTCTGTTTCTCCCAGCAGTGGGACACTTGCGTGTGAACACTAAACTAGTTTACTCTTAAATTAAAACTCCTTTATATATAAAAAAAAATTTTTCTTTCTGTACAGACAGGCTCTGCGCACCCCCCAGCCCCCCTGCTAGCAGGAGTCAGCAGTAGATGGCTCTTCTTGACAGATCAGGCTAGTGGAAGAACAGCAGCCCCATCTTTTTCTACCTGATAAGACTTTTGTTTCTAGTAGCAACCAAAAAGGAAGATTTCTACCTCCTTTTCCACATCCCCCACAGGAGGACAACAGCCACAGATCCACGTGTCCAGAGGTCACCAAGCAGCAACAGTCTGCCTCCCATCCCTGCAGAGTCTCTCTGGCTTCTCCTCGTTAATACAATTCTACTATATAATGGTTTTCTCTTAGAAAAGCAGCATTATTTTTTTTTTTTTAAAACACTTTTTATAAAAACTACCAGACAGGATCAACAACAACAATACAAAAATGCAATCGCTTTTCAACCCAAGTGCGCAGATTTTCCACCCAATGAGGATACAACTCAGACCCACATGGATATATATGCAACGCAGCCCCCTCCTGAATGTGACCCGAGATCCCTGCCTTGGAGGAGTGAAGATGCATTTCAGACTATAGCAGCACATTCAAATGTATGTCTTAAAACCTAGGCTGATGTTTAAGCTACCTAAAAAACCAACCAGCTTTCAAGTGAGAGTCTCCCATTGCCCAGGGAGCTAGGGAAGGGGACAAAGGGTGAAGGCACTCTTTCGGAAGGAGAGGAGACCAGCATCCAGGCCCCACACCAAGGAACTGCAAAGTCTTCCTCCTTCCTCATTCCCAGCAGTTAACAATAAATTAAGCAGCCTCAGTGGGGCAGCAGAAAGCCAAGGGGATTGCGCCCAAACCTCGCCCAGGAGGCTGCTCCCCGAGGCAAGGACTTCTCTTCTGCTGTCCACGCAGACAGGGAGCACGTCCCCCAAGCAAGCCGAAATCCCAAATCTAACGGCAACATGAAACAAGCCACACGTTTCTCTTCCAAGCAGAAGCAGCCACGCCGCTGCCCCCCCAGGAGCCACAGCAATCTGGCACGAAGCAATTGGGACCAAGGGCCAACAAGCACCTGCTCCCTCCTCCCGGACACTCGGTTCTCTCTCGTGAGCCACGTGGGCCTGTAGCACCCCGGGCCGGGGAGGGAGGTTGGGGTGGTTATAAAGATTTTGCTCACGTAGGCCAGGGTAAGAGGCTTGCTATCCATGATTGATGGCCCACACGGGGCTGGGAGTCGTCACAGTGAACACCCCCGAGGAGACGGGTGAACAGCGGCCAGCCGGGCTATAAGGAACACGAACTGAGAAACATTTTGCAACTTCATTTTGGGTCCTGCTCCCCCTCCCCAGCAATTCTCGTGCCCTGCCACCATGAAAACGGTTGCTTCACCCCGGCCACCTGCAGAAGCTGACGAGCAGTGTCGAGCTGCGCCAGCTCGGCTGCCTGCTCTGACAGACGAGCGTGGATCCTGCTCTGCGCTCCCAGCGAGCAGAACAAATCCTCAGCGGGCGTCGGATGGGGCTGACGGATGGGTAGGTGGGATGCAGCGACCTTTCGGTGTCCAGGGCGAGGTCCTGCTGCGGCGGGGCTGGGTGGCTCTCGGGAAGGGGAGGCTGGTCACAGGTTGATGTCCGTGACGTCTGTAGGCGTGCTAGTGGGCTGGCTGGCCGGGTAAGCAGCAGTCTTGGCGGCACTGTATTCCTGTTGGGTTTGGGACGCCTGTTTCAGACTCTCGGCTAAGGCTGCCTCAATCTGCTCCTGACAGGCTTTCAGGCAGTCCTGCGGGAGAGGGAATGAGACAAGAGCCCTCAGTTCTCCGCTGCTCAGAGGTGGGAGCCTTATAAACAGCTCTGAGCAGCTGCTGGGCTACATCTCTGGCCCCTGGAGCATCTAAACACACAAGGCAAAGCAGCCTTTCTCCAACAAGGGGCATCTCCAGCTTGTCTGCGCTTTAGGCCCCTCCCCAGGAGAAGCCCCACGCTCTGGTTGTCTTGTCCTCACCTCCCTGCTTGACCACATTCTCAAGGAATAGATGTTGTGCCCGTCAGAGCTTCCCAAAGCATCCGGGCTCATGCCTGGATGCAGTGTGTGATTTCAGCATCATGGCAGTCAGCTGCCGCTGACAACCAAGAGGCTAGAGCAGAGCAACTCTGCGCAGGCTGCTATCAACCTTTACAACCAAAGCTTCCCAGATCCACGAGCGATGGCCGGCATGCAGCACCATGGATGCACACGGGGACCTTGGAGCCCCACCTGCCTCCCCCAGGCCCTACATCCCAGGTCTCCTGAGGCTCGGCGTGGTCCTGCATCTCTGCGGTCACCCACCCGTGCGCAGCTCTGCCCACGTCTGAGCCAGGACAAGGCAAATCCCTGCTGGGTGCCCTGGCTGACGCACACTGCATCACTCTGGGGATCTTGGAAGGCA